CGTAAGACTTCATGTGAAGTGAATCTGATAGTATAATGACTTAATATTCATTATCTTTATGATTTTATACATATTTTGAATTCTAAACCTGGAGATATACATCTGCTTTATTCTTCAATAATTGCTCGTTTAGATTGTCATTTAGATTATTCGTCTTCTATTTGAATAGGACGAGTATAAGCTCATAGATTTACCATTTCAACTACTGGTATTGTCCCTTTAATATAGAAATTAGGCCTGGGTGATTACCTCTAAACTACAATAACAACATCTCATTTAGCCATCATGCCTCCATCATTTTGGCCACTCACCCCATTCTTCTCTTAAATCCACGGGATATTTTCAAATCTTCTATTTCATATCGTCGACTTTATCATGGCTTAAAATTCTCTTCTTTGTCATTTTACCTAACAAGGTCATAGATAGATATTTTCCCGATTTAGAAACATACCTGTGGCGCGGAAATATTCAAAATACTATGGACATGCCATCGTGGGTGGGTGAAAAAGCATTTAGTTTGACATGCTGACTAATGGATTCAACCGATATTCACATGAGCTTTAAATCCATGTTGCTATTAGAATTGTCATTAAGCGATAAAGAATGGTTGAAATTTGATAGATTGCCTAAACTTGTGAAATGATCAACAAAACTGGTATAGATTTAAAGATTAAAAGCCTGTTTAAAGGTATATCAATCAAACTGCCAATATTATCAGTGAAATCATAATGTCCTGTAGATAGGTATAAACTACACTGTATGTAGATAGAATGAAATGTATATTGGTGTTGGATTAAACCTTGTTTACAATCTATCATATCCTCTATTAAAACATTTATCATTCTATAACATGATAGTAAGATTTGTAAACTGAGCTTCTAATCTGAACATTGGATCGTTAGACATTATAACTGTCGGTGGTTTTTGACAATCCCACTAACGATGGTTTGTCGCTAGATCTGGTAACACTGAAGCAATGTTACCTAGGTTTATATCCAATTTTGTCATAAACAATTACTTAGTGGAGAGAGGTCGTGAACGCTCATATCGACAAAAAATCGACTAAGATTCCATCCATTCAGATCGACTATCTGATTCAATGTTTCCTTCACAATGTCGACAATGAATGGTAAATGTGATTCTTGTATGAGCTCAGGTCGCCTAAATCCAGTGATTGCTCTCATAGATGTCGTTGAAGAAAAAATTGCTCGCAGATTCAGACAGTCGGAAGGTCGACATGAGTTCCCTAATCTTGGCTAATATGAAAGCTTATCGTATGTCGTCCATTTATGGCAGGTATTATAGAACCATATGTCTAGTTACATGTATATCAAAGAAGAAAATCCATGAAACCATGTCCCATAATTTAACGAGTGTTTTAGGGCGATAGTGGTGAATTAAATGTTAAATACGCAGATGCATATAAATACCTAGGCCTGTGGGTGAACGAATTCTGTGACTATTCATACAGCGCTAAAGAGTTATCAAAATCGGCAAATAGGGCTTTGGCTGTGATTAAAACCAAATCGATACAGTTTGGTGGATTTAGCTACGATGTTTACACAAAATTATATGACTCGCTTGTCAGGCCTGTATTTACTTATGCATCTGGTATTTGGGGTATTAATACACATAACTGTATTAATGCGCTGCATAGTAACGCATGCAAATTTTTTCTTGGTTTGAGCAAAAGAAGTAGTAATTTGGCAGCAATGGGGGACATGGGATGGCTGAAGGGTAATAATTTAGTTAAGATTGAATTGTTTAGATATTGGAATAGACTTAAACTCAACGATAATATTCTTTGTAAAACTGTACATAAATGGGCCAGTAGACGTAAGTCTTCCTGGGATCACCGAGTATTAAGTATCGGTCGAGAACTACATGTATTAAATGATCAAAGTGACACTGTATGTATTGATGATGTGTGGGATAGTCTATGGGAAAGGGAAGTGGGTCAGTGGTCTAGGGATGTATGGAATGACCGCACACATGTTAATGGAAACAAACTCCGGTCATACCGCATGTACAAAACTGAATTCGGAACAGAACCGTATGTCAAAATTATTAAAAATAGAGCTCACAGACGCGTGTTGTCCAAACTTAGAGCGGGTTCACTCCTTTTGAGAATTGAAACTGGTAGATTTGTTAGACCCCCCGAACCTCTCTGCTTAAGGAAGTGTCTTTTATGTGATAATGGGGAAATTGAAAATGAGGAGCATTTCATTTTTAACTGTAAATTATACACTGATATAAGAAAAGTTTTATGTACCGAAGCCTGTTTTATTAATCCAGATTTTTTATTTTATAATAATGTAAATAAATTGTGTTTTTTAATGACAAACGAACGAATTTTACCATATTTTGCCGCATGTATTTTTAAAATGTTTGAACGTAGAAAACCGACTGTGATAGCCTGAGCCTTTTTATTTATCATAATGTTTATTTTACTTGTATATTTGTGTTTTACCTGTCTCATTGAATGTAGTTTTATGATATAATTCTAAGGTGTCTCATAAGTCGAAGCCGGCTGGCGTCCATTTTATAATGCTGTAATTATTTTATTGTTGTTATTCTCTGTATATATGGACGGTGACACTTAAATAAATAAATTATTATTATTATTATTGGTATTATTTACCCTGGAACGTCTGATTTGGTGAAGTATGTTAGGTTAAAATCAGGGAAGACGGGTACAGCCGTTTTGTCTGCTGAGATGGTACCCAAATTGCACTGTATAACTCTCATTCAATGACCGCATCGCTTCGATGGTGTTACAATAAAAAAAAATACAAAATATCAGTACAAATATGTTTTCTTTTATCAAATATACATTAATATATAACAATTGAAGTAATAAAAAAGGAACATAATGGTCAATAAAATGCAAATTCTGGCAGTGTAGTGGAGTACTCTTCATAAAAAGAGGTAATAACAAGTCTACAGATAGAAAAATAAATAGATCATCTACCTAGTAATATATAACAATAATAATAATAATGGTACCAATATTGGTAACAGCACTTGACTTTAATATACATGTGTAACAATTATAGGAAGACAATGAGGTACTGTGGCACTAATGTATAATTTGCGTATATGACGTAACAGACCATTATAATAACCATATAATATAATATAAATTTATTATGATTTGTTGCATTTACTCAGTAAATTGGGTTTCATGTATCTTAAACTGATATTATAACGTAAAGTTATAGTTGTGAATTTAAGAAATTTCGATGTGGTGGTGGCACCGTATTGGTTGGCCACGTACTTTCAATGGAAGAGTCAATAGTATTTCAAGATTTATTTCACGCTTAAAATTTAGCGACCTCCATATTTATTCAGGCATGAGCTTTTTAAGTAGTTATATTAGGCATATGTGAATATGCTCTTCATATGTGTGGCAGCATTCATATCTAAAAGTGTTCAAGTTCACATTCTGGGGGTATGGTTTTTAAGGTTATTCTTCTTTCACTCACTATTCACTCTGCAGCACTCAATAAAACTTGTTGTCACTGTAATGATAAAGAATACAAAATTCATAAGTAACATAATTATAGAGGTGCTAAAATGTTACATATAAACATAATAGCAGTATAACAACATTATGTAAAAGTGCTCTCGTATTCAACATTTATAACACAAAACGAGGGACCTTATTTTAACATCAAGGTTTTGTTTGTTTAATTTTTTATCACCAAATCTCTACTGTATTTCCAAGTCAATTGTGATTGAATTTAAAACGTGCTAGTTAGGACATAGTTAAATATTGAGAGTTATTAAGCATGGGAACGACCCAGATGAAAACTATTATGTGATTGAAAAGAGGATGTTTGTTACCCCGCCTTTCAACCAACTTAAAGGGGAGACATAGTGTTAATCACTACATAGCGTGACCTATAATGTATAACCCTTTATTTCAATACGTTCAACTTTATATAGTCCCCTTTTTCAACAAGCAGATATACCACTCTGCATTATAATCAAAGTTATCAAAATTCCTATCGATATATCTCATACAATTTCAAAGAAGATGCTATTCTTTTGATATCTTTGTTTGCATTATTCCCGAAATAATAATTTCGTTTGAGAGAAGATGAAATTAATTTGCTCAGTCAACTTGAAACAAATAAGTTAGAAAATAATTAAACATGAATTTATCCAATAAAACACCTGTGATATATAATGAGTATAATATTTATTTCTTTATAAATATCTTTAATCTCCGACAAATCAATAAAAACCAAGCGTTTAATATAATTTAGTTTGATTGGTTAAGATAAAGAGAGAAAATCGATAAGTCTCGACGATATTAGGGTGGTTCCTGAAGGTGTACTATTCAGGGGGCAATATAAACTTGCTGATAAAATACTCGACTGTGATTTATTTGAACCACCTAAATCTATCAATATTAATGTCACACTCTAACCACACTTTTTTCAACAAAATGATAAATAGGTCTGAGTACTACCGCGCGATCTACACGCGCCAACTGCAGACATAATACTACAAAGGTAATTTTATTGAATATGATCGAGGCAAGTCTGTCGCCAAGGGGCACTACAGATTGATGAAAAATCACGAAATATGAACGATAAAAGTTGAAAGCGTTATGAGATAAGAGAATGACTTACCAAATCTGATCATGATAAATTGACGCCACATAGTGCATCAATCCATGTACTAAATTCACTTAGATCTCGTTCTTCAAAGGAACTCACTGATGATTCACAAGAATCTGAGCACTCACTAGGTCCTGGAGAGTGAATGATATTACTGTCGGACTGTCTATTGTCTGTAGGTATTAACATCCTATGATATGACTGAGAAGATGGAACTGATACGAAGGATGAAGTAGATGAAGAAGATGAAGATGATGAATATGCTGTTGACGGTGATGATGATACTGGAGATGTTTGAGGAACTGTTGGAATTCCGGTGGAGTAATCATTCTCATTGTTAGTATTAAAAGCATCACATGGAACTGGTGTACAGTTATTTGATTCTAGAAGTTCTTGTAAATTCTTTATATATTCCACAGCAGCTCTTAATGTATCCACTTTGCTCATCTTTTTATTCTTTTTACCATTTGGAACTCGTTGCCTTAAAGTATCAAAACCATTATTCACTTGTTTCACTCGGTTACGTTCTCTAGCATTTCTTCTCGATGACGCAACAGGGTGCACTTTTGGAAGATTTAATCCAAGTTTACTGAAATCTGCTCTTCTTTTGCATCGGAGGAATTCTGGCTCTGTCGTGCTTCCATCTGACGGTTCCTGTTTCTTAATAGGTCTTAAAGCTCGAACTTGTTGTGCTACTGTGGTTGTTTTCAATAAAATACATGGTCCGGTGACAACTACTCTGTTACTGGTACTGACAGGAATCGCCTGCAAAGGAACTAAAGAACTTGACATGGTTACTTCTTGGTGGCGCCTAATTCGTGTGGACGACTCGTGGATTAAGTGTGCTACTTCCACACGCTTTATGTCGAGTTGTAACTCTCGTCTCGCTTTATGACCACTGCTCAAATGACACCTTTAGAGATTCAGGTATATAAAGGTAACTGTCTCTTAGTTGAAGCCCCACCCCTCGTCTACAACTGGCTCGTGACCACTGTCAATCATATACTGGCTCGTGCGAGTAACGCGTGCCCCATATAGAAGAAAAACACCTGTGGTTTTATGGAAATCCACAGGTAAAGGTAACCAAACACTTTGATTTTATTTTAAACAATATTATAGCTTTACGTTATTTCAGACCTATATTACTGAGTGAATACTCGTAAAAGCTGTAAGGTGCTGCAGTATAATGTTAGAAATAATTATAGAAATTGAAAAAAAAAATACTTTGAAGAGTCTGTTGAATTGTTGCCATCTGGTAAGGTTACTCCTATGAAATACCCCATCTCATTCTCGACAGATGGGTTGATATTATCTTTAAGAAGAAGCAATGTTGAATCATTGAAGGGATTTCTCTAGCATACTCAATAATAACAAAGGGTATTAAATTCAGTGATTTTCTCGACTAACTGGTCTTTGTTCGCCAATATTAACATTCCCCCACATTATCCCATTTACTATCCACGATTTGACAACCTAAAATCTGGCGCTCTCACTTCAATCTCTTTTGTCCATTTTCAAACTGAAAAACCGTTAAATATGAATTTTTAATGAATACATGAATAATCGTTACGCCATTGATTTTTTCATTATTTAAAAAAAACAATTAAAACACCGACCTAAAAGTATGTATCATTTGTGAGGCGCAACGATGCAATCTTGGTTAAATTCTCGAATTTAAACTTTTATGTAATTTTGTATGACAGGGTTTAGGATAGATAATGGCACAGACAGAGTTCCTAGGTGACTTAAAATAATTTTCAGGTCTATATAATTTGGCAGTAAGGTTCTCAACGTATTTAATATTCACTCTTTTTGTTCTATTTCGTCTTTATGAACCCTTGACAATTACCTGTATCGGCTAATGCCGCTTTGCAAGTTTCACGTTGTGTTGCCAATTTCTATAACTTTCCCACTCAAAATATATTTAAACCTTGTCGAAGTTTTACATGACAAAACTCTTGTCATGCTTTAAAAGTATAGCAGTATATACCCATTTTTCATATACTGTAGGCCTATATACCTCAGGTTTACCAAGCGGGAAAACAATATACGCCCATTACTTTCTTGAGGATCAAATGAGACGGGTTTTGGTTTATTAGCTAAAGGGGGGTAACTCTTTTTGAAACATTCAAAATTACAATCTCGTGAAATTACGAATGCAATGGTGTTAAAGTTATAAGCAGGTTGGTTTGAATAAAATCAATAAATGTTATTAATGTGAGATGACTGAAATAACAAGATTGATGCAAACATATTGCCCTTAAACACACTGTTAAAATGAAAAAAATGAAAAATTATTTGCTTCCTATGCTACTGATTCTGATGAAAGCTAATGAAGACGAAAATCGTAAATTAAAAAAGTTTACATCTCAGGAACCTGACAGGCCAGTGTCATCAACCTATCAATCCTTTTTTTAAGTTAAAATCCAAAGGAATTTCGTGTTATAAATGGGTTAAGCGGTCTTCAAAGTAAATGACAAAGGGAAATAATTCGTTCTAAACGTTGTGATTAGCGAGTTTGGGAGCAAGTGAATAGATAACTGTCGAAAGTGTTTTGATTTTATCACAGAACATTAGTGTTGTAAAAAGCGGAATTATATGTATGTGCAATTAACATTTATCAGCAAGTTTATGGCATCAAAACCCATCTACTTGTCACAATAATTTTTTTATATTTGACCAGATAACTTTGGTTATGTTTACGTAGATAATAAGTACATTTTCTCTATAATAAATACCCATACGATAACGTACACACAGACGATACTTAGATTTGCATACGAATGAGTACTCTCAAACTGGGGTCATATGCCTTAAAGCTAAAGTCTACCATCATAATCACACTAACAATTAGCGGCACTTTACATCAAGAACTAAATTACCTATTGTCATCATCTATATGAACATACAGCTCACCACTTGAAGTTCAAAGATACTATTTTAACAACATTTTCGCTCTCATGCTCAATTTTCTCGCCGTATCATTTTGCGATCATACTTTCGCATGACTTGCAACTCGGACCTACACGAAAAACCAAATTGAAATCATTATTATTGGCGCTTTAAGAATGGATTTGCTATGGTTGATATACGTACAATTACGATAAATGGTTGATGTCGTATATAAATGATCACTACCCATTAAGGTAACTCGTCAACGCCTCCATATATTATTGAACTGTTGTATCTGCAATAAATTGCAATAATATTGTACAAGGATGTTGGTGGAAGCCATGCATGAAATCTATGATTTGTAAAAGAGCAATGAGCTGGGTATTAGGTATGGAATGAATTGAAGAAGTATAACCTCAATTATTCAAAAATTTAAGAAAACCTTACAAAACTTTGTCTTATCACCAACTAAATCGATATACACTGTAGACATCGATCCTGCAGTAACATTTCATCTCAATTTGCATTCTATGGAGGAGCACTCTGGTGAAAAAAGTACAAGTAGCGTTACTCGAACTAAAATTCTACATTTTGAAGTTCATCGAAGATTGCCTAAACAATCTCAACTTACCAATTACCAAAGAATACTATGATCCAGGTACCGTGATATTTGGCATATTCGATTTTCTGAGGCTTGAATAAACCTGGTTGGTCTTATAACAAAATATGTCTTTTAGGTTCTAAAAGCTCGATATATCGCGGAAGCTGGATTTGTTAGAGATCTAACCCTTTCACTTAAATCATGAACTTAACTATTTTGATCCTATCCAAAATGTAGCCTCTACTCATGATGATGTTAGCATAACCGGCCATATCAAAATAATATAGTATCCAACTTGATTGAGGATTGGCAGTATATTCATGAACATATCATAATGAATCTGATCATAAGTACAAATCCTACATAATTCATTTGAGACTTAAAGGACAAAAGGATAAACTCAAGGACAAAAGAAACTTTATGACTTTAAAAGTGAATTTTAATCAAAAAAATATACACTTTCGATCCAACATTCTTACCATTTCTCCAAGAACAACTAGATGGTTTCATTTATCCGCATATCAAGGTCAGACCCCACAACGGCAGAATCGTAACAAACTTGGATTCAGCAATATCAACGTGTTGCCGTGAGCTGCATGTTCCCCAATAGAACACTCTAGGACATCAGGGATCACCGTGTTCGACAACGCCCTTCAAGTTCAACAAATAGACATAATCAGACGATTGACTTTTTGCGCCGAAGAGTATTCGCCTGTATTGAAGCTCTGGGCGGTCACACACGCTAGTAATGTAAATGATGTTGGACTTGGAGATGTTTCCGTTTGCATTGTAAGGTTTTTTGTACCCCACCGTACTTTCTGTGACTCTGACGCCATAACCAGAAGTTATACGTTTGTCATGTATTGTGCTGGTTTCGTTGACTTATCAATCTGTTTAAAATCAAATCATTTAAATAGCGTAGTTCTCACTTAAGGTGTTCTCAAATTGTTTCCCTTCCCCATTAAGGCAGCCTGTCCCCTATTTGTTCTCCCAGATCCATGCAATAATAGGCACTATTTTATTTCAAAGAAAATTTAGTGACATGAAAATAAATGATCAATAATATTAGTTGGTGGTAGATTACACCACAATGCTTGAGAACTTTGTCCCAAAGTAGATTTCGGATTGAAAACTATACACGAGGTTATGAACGAAGTCGATTTCTATTATTCAAGCAAGGTAATAGATTTAAATTTGATTTCTTATTTCATATTTAATAAAGTAAGTCGCTTATAATATTCACATTCTCGACACAAAAATAAAAAAAGCAAAGAAAATGGGTCGAAAATATTACACTGAAATATATCATATTGGGCCTAACACTTTAACGTTATATTTTTAAAATAAATTGGCGATAGTAAAACCAGAAGTGTGCATATTGCTCCGGTTAATTTTCCTTAATTCTCGAAATAATATTTTTTTTTATTTGAATATGCAATTTTTGATAGTCTTAATGACATCATATAGTGATTATTGTCTTTGTAGATATATATAGTATATAAGTTTGGTTTGAATTTAATTTTTAGAAAATTTACAGGTATAGGGGTATCCCTCTGTGATGCAATTCTGAGGTATAACTAACATGGAAAAGCGATTCGTTTAGGGAATGGGCATTGTAGACTACACTGTAGACTATGTCTTTGTTTTGTTTTTTGGTCGAATTTTCATACGGCAACAAATTGAATCTATCAGGTTACGTAGGGAAACCTTACTTATTTTCTGTAAAAATTTCATTAAATATAGAAATAAAAATATTGTTAAAAAAAAACAAATTGACCCAATAACGAAAGGATTACTACATTGGGTACATAGAGATGAACATTCAAGCTAGGGAAACACGCTAGTATGAGACTAAGGAGGTTTAATAGAAAATAATATTTGTATTTAAAAAATAAGGGAAAGCCTGCAAGGACAGTAGCATTAAGCCGCGAATAGACTTAGTTCGGAAATTGAAGAAGAAAAAACACGAGGTACGGGTCCGGACACTTTTACTGTTTCAATAATCCAGCACCACCCACCACACCAGACATCGTACCTCGTCTATTCGCACCTAAAGCCTGCTCCCTTTTCCATCTCTGTCGAGGGATCTTTGACGTGCACAGTCTGTAGCATACGGGGCATGGGTTTATTGTCCCATCTGAACGACTAGACTCTTACCTGTATCACTGACAGGGGAAAATCGGGTTGAAAAATCCGAAGGTATCTCGACCTTCAATCTCCTTACCTAGGTTAGTGAGCAAGCAACTCACCATATTAAAGCTCTTTGATTGAGACACTGAAGGCAACAAAACCCATGTTCAACATAATGCAGGTATAGCACCCTTTCTTGTCCCATTCAATACCGTAAGTAGGCGAGCAAACAAGTCCATGCCCATTAGGCCTATGTAAGAGAAATCTCTCCACTTCATTAATCAAAAATGGTAGGCCATTTGAAAAATCCAAATAATCCCCAAAATCTACATTAGCTTGATATTCTTGCGTATTCTAACTAATAGGCAATTAGATACTAGATAAAATAGTTGCAGAATATTTAATCAGCTAAAAAAGACAATTGGATTGGTTTATAAATATATTGCGACCCAACTGTTGCCAAATTATGTGATATGGTCAAGTTGCTCATATCTGCCTCATGTGTTACCTCTTTACTCTTTAAATTCCTTTAAATGTTACTTGAAATTTTTACTCTGTAATGAATTTCTTAATTCGAATTTACAAGAAACAATAATGGTCATTTTAAATTACTTATTTACTCGCCTATTAATACGACGTACTTGGTAGCTGACACGAAACCAATGAACACTTTGCGCAGACTCAATGGGCGGAAGTTGAAAATGTAAACAGTCGATCGACTCGCTCATTATTTGACCTACATTCATTGATAAAAATAAACCCTGAAACTAAACCCCTGGCAAAACATTGTACATAATAATTTTTTATTTTCATTTCGTCGCTGTGGACTCATTACTTGCGTACCAAGCAGCTGGACTCAATAACTATTATATCAGTATTTCTCTTCCTTCTGAACGCGGTCATTTGATAATGGCGAGATCTAAATTAAAGCTTTCTCAATTGCAGTCCGATCTATTTTTAGATTACGCTAGTGCGCATGTTCGGCCATGGTCGTGTGACGAGTAACTTCCCTTTCATTATATACTTCCGTTTGTAATGAATTGTGGGTAAAATCGCCATATTTATTTAACGGAGAGAAACGGGATGAAAATTACGTGAACAAATTACATAAAATATTTCGAAATGTGAATTATTTCGTAAGCTTCTTATTGGTTCAAGTAGGTATGAAAACACGGACAAGTAAATAAGCTTAGATTTCCGATGTTTACTTATTTGTTGTGTTTTATTTCTGAAAAATTGTGGTGAATTTAGGATTAAAAATTCGCTTTGTAGTTTGTTGTTTGTCTCGCCGCTAGGTGTCGGGTCCATGTTTAAGTACCTTCCTGTCAAGCATGTTAGAATGATTGTGTAAATTAGTGATATGTTAAGTTATTTATGCAGGTTGTCAATACCTTTTTTATATCTTAATTCAGGTTATTTTCATCATTTTTATATGCTTAAATGGTTGTGTTTTTTCTAGTTTGCGTCTCACGTCCACGGGCAAAGACGTAAGTTGGACTTAAATCACAAGACTTTTTGAGAACTCAGTGACATGAGTAGATTATTAGGGGATTTCCGGTTGCACCTAGCTTGCGCTCTTATAATAGGACAAAGATTTATTTGGTTTCTACACTTTGGAAAAAGATGACGCCTTTCAATTTTTGTAGACAATTATTGTTGAGTTACAGTATGGTTTGTCAAAACCTCTGAGATTCTTTACAGGATACCTAGAGGACGGTGGTGCCATATTTCATAACGTTTGAAACCACCAAGGGAAATGCAATAACGTCAAACTTTGACCGTTGTTTTCTCGACGTTTGTAGACCCTATTCCCAAAGTATTCACCATCCTCTGGGTCATCGGGAATGCTTTTTCTGAAACATCTTAGCATCAGCAATGTGTTGCCGAATTGAACGGAAACCATTGGGGATATTTTATCCATATGGAGTGTCATAGTCGATTGCATGTCTGATCTCTGATGTTGCAAGGATTAACACGACCATTATTTCATCGCATTGAAATACATGATTTTGCTCTCGTTTCCACTGTCCTCCATATCTAGAACATATCGACTTAGTTGGCAAAATCATCGAAAATGTGTCCAATTTTTACGTTGCCATATTTCTAGAACTACCCACAGTGATGAAACTCTCGATTCTTTTTTCTTATATATAAAACGTAGTATTAAAGGGGTTGTAAAGAGGTTTTTCAATCAGACGTCTGTGCTCCGATATACATACAAATTTGGTCAGTTTTGTAACAAAGTTATCTCCCTTAACTTCCAAAGTTTCCCAAAGATTAAAAAAAGAAATTATGGTTTATGTTGAAATATGATATAGTTACGTAATGTGAAAATTATAGTTATTGTCGTTTTCAAGTTTGTCGTTGAGGCAATCAGATGCTAAAGTGGGCGTGACTCATATGTAATATTTCAATATATTGTTCTAGGCCTGTATTTGATTATTCTATTTTGCAGACTGAGAAAGTATGACAAGTAATGGTTCACAAGATGTAAAGCTATCTACTAATATTATTGAATCTGTGAAAGAAACTGTTCAGTGAGTATTATGATTTGTGCTGTTTGTTATCGGAACTGGTCAAAAAATTTGATCTATTAGATGTGATAAATTTAGACTTTAAATCTGAAAGTTTGAAAGAAGTCTTTCACAAGATAATGGAAGGAGTAGCATTGTGCGTACATTGACGTTATCTCTGCCTCCTGTCTGTCCACAATTGGCCTGTAAAAAAGAGAGTTTGATAATCGTGAATATTCGAGCTTTTGTGAGTTATTGCCCTTGACATAACACAATAAAACCAAATTGTCTCGTCAACGATATAATGCCTTCAGTATTGATCTGGTTTTCATGAAACTTGGTATGAATGTATTTTGATGAAATGATATTTGATCTTTGATCGAATTTTTTGTGTACGGTTTTTGAGTTATTGGTACATAATTGTACTTGACCTGGCATAAATACATCAAAGTTGCCTTGTGAACTAGTCCGAAATATGGGCACTATTCCAGCCTCTGACCGGTTGTTTTTCCATACACCCGAAAATGCGTTTATCATAATATCAAATTACCTTGACGATGACTGTAAATTAGTGTTAGGCATTACCGTAACTTTCGTTTTTGTTAGTATCAGGAGACTGTGACCCTTGAACTTTTGGCACGCAGTTTTAAATGGCCATCGACTGGTCAGTTTCGTTAAAAAAAAAACAAGAACTTTGATGGAACCTCGGACGTGACATAAATGGTTTTTAAGGATTATGATGGTATGAATAACTACAAAAACACCAATCTTTCCAGATGCATCTCTGTTTTACGAATTGAATAAATAGGTTTAAACCCCCGCACCTTTAGAAATGCGGAAAATTCCCAGAAAACAGGGCCTAGTTTTTCACCAGCCCACAACTTCTAAAATAGCTATCGGAGACAGATGTTTATATTTACCTAGTGAAAGTGATTGACACAACAGTTTTGAATCGATTTTGATCGGTCTTTGTATGCATATTACATTTATTATATAAGTGAGACCCTAATCAAATCCCTACGGTGTTTATAATCGTTCACATCTCCGATTAGCGAGCACTTTATTTTCCAAAACGAAAGTGACATAGGAATAGAAATAGAAACGGATGCGGTTAAACTGGAATCATTTCATTAACACGCTTACCATCTTCTTTCCAATTTTAAATATTATAGTTATATAAAAAAAAATCGATGGCTCGGATTTGTAAAAAAAAATCATCATCATATCTCGTGTAATTTTTATTTGATGAACGTATCTGGAGTTAGTGACGTTCACTTAAACAGAATTGACAATTTTGATATATCTTGGTATTCTTATGTACGGTGGTGTAACCTATATTCGTGCATATAAGGTTTCAACACCGAATTGTGTCAAAATTAAAAATTAGAATTCCTTTTTTTATGTCGTATAAATGTTTTTTCAGGTATTCTATAAAATAATTAAAATTTGTTTGTTTCAAAAACTATGAATCCCTTAACATGACCCATATTTCATGATTAACCAACTCTACAACGGCTGCAAAACATGTCACCTATTTTCGTGTACAATGGTTGATGCATAGATAAGTCGAGAAAAACACGTTGTATTGCTACCAAGTGGTATAATTATCATGTCTTAGTATTAACCATGCACGTTAAAGATCCCCCGGCAGTTGGGAATCGAAAAAGAACAGGCTTATGCCGCTGTCCTGGCAAAATTTCCCTCATTGTCCTCTGCATGACGTTGCCCGGCTTCATTAGCCCACATGGTACAAAAAAGTAGGACGTAAAACTCTATTTCATTTCATTTACTATTAACCTAGTCATTATAACAAATGACATTTCTTTCAAAGAAGAATGAATTAAAAAAAAAAGGAAATAGTCACTGACAAAATATAATAAAATAAAATAATCAGTAAAACCTAAAAGTAATTTATTGCTAAAAAGCATTGAAACAACATTAGCCAACATTGTGTTCCATAGAATTTTTCTGCTGACATGGAATCCGCTAGTTTGTCACGTGACTTTGTTCACTGGAATATTTTCTAACAGACGACTCATGGAATTCCTATTACAGCTTGGGATTATAAGGAAATTTGGCCGATAAAAAATTGTGGTATATGGTCGTCCATTTTGGATATGTTAGAAATAGATAATAAATTTCACATTGGTTTGAAACGATAGGAAAAATTCTACAGATTGACGTTGTAGAGATAAGCTATGTTTATTAAAACATGCAAATGCAGAGGTCACAAGAGGTCGCACATGTAAATTATTTGTCATTTCCGTAGGCACTTGAAATTAGGTTCGCACGAAATTAGGTTACTTGAGTAAATACTGTATGATTTAAATTTTTTCGATAAAAGATTTTTGAATTGTGGGCGTGTAGCATTTTAGGCGACCGCTGGTGTATATTTATTGAACTACACGTAGTCCGACTGCCATGAATTTCTTTGCTTATGTAAGGATTTTGGACGTAAAATCCTTAAATGCTGCCACGGGGTTACGCTGCACATTATAAATTGAGAAATTAATAGATTATGGAATTGATAACGCTATGTCAAATCTCTGCCTGGCTATCCATCAAGAGTATAGTACAAGAGTGACTATTTTGACCTGTAGTATAACTGTATTGATAATTGTATTCTTCCATGTAATTGTTGCCAGTGATACAAGTCTAACCCTCTTGTTGTATTTTCTTTCAGAGCTGGTACTGCTAAGTTACTGATAGATCCAGATGGTACAGTTCGTTTAGAAGCTAATTCAAATTTCCCAACACCTGGTACACACGACAAACAGAAACTATTTGCTGCTTGTACAGACGACGGTCAAACTAATGTTTACTATTCACCGTCTGGTAATCCATCTGAAGTATATCTTTTAAAACCAACTGCAAAATCAGCCGGTAAACAGTTAAGACTAACTACCAGAGACTCAAAAAATATCAAGGCGTCCACGGCGGAAGACCAGCCTTACGAATCAGATCAAGATAAATCAAATCCGATAGTTATGTCAGTGATTGGACAAGACACTGTAGCTCAAAAACCATCATCGCTGTCTTCATCACAATCTCTTTCTAAGGGCGGACCTTCTACAGCAACCCTATCACCACCCAGTGTGTGTTCGATAGCAACCTCGACATCATCAAGCCCAGTAAACTCGCCTGTTGATGACAGTGACTTTCCAATCGATTTACCCGTTTCATTTGAAACTGATGTTAAAAATAGTGGGGTAAATTCCGACATTGATGAACTTGATAGCCTTCTTCCAGATATAGGAAGTACCATTGCAGCACATCTACAAAATAAAGACTCTCAACAGAATACTGTTTCTCGTAAGGAAAACATAGTTAAAACTTTGTTGACCCAGAAAACACCCGTGACAATGCCCCACACTGCAACGGCAAATAATGCTTCTGTTAAGATTCCAATGAGCTATAAAAACATTGCAACAAAACCCGTGCCAATTACAAATTCAAATGGACAGCTCTTATTGTTCACTACCAGTATAGGACAAAATCAGTGTATCTATTTATCAGAAAATGAAAAGTTAGCACCAGTGGTGCCGGATATTGCCAAATCAATACCAACTATAGATACTAACAGTTCCGCCCAACCCATGGCGAACGCATTTAGCTTACTCCAATCATCGTTCAAACAAACAAGAACAACAGCTCCGTTTAAACCACTCAACGCCGTCTCTTTACTTCACGGGCCTGTTCAACAAAAGACACTTCCAAGAATTCTAAATGTTAGTAATCATCCGCAAACAAAACCGGTTTCATCGAGTAAACAGACATCTGTACCAATAATTGTGATGCCAAAGTCTATGCCTGCAACTTCAAGTTACATGGCTAAAAATATCACCCAAAAACACGTTCCCGTTAAGGTTCTGCCCAAAGCAGCTCAAGCTGTCCCAAATACCAATGTGACACAAGTGAATTCTGAAAACGTGTCTGGTTTGAAGTTTGTAAGTAGCAACACATCTGACAACTTCAAGCAATTTTTGCCTCGCAAAATAAATCCAGAGTCGATCATGAAAATAGGAAAAACAACGGCTAGTCAATGTCTGGAGCAAGCAGTGGCCAAAACTAGTGGATCCACGTCAATAACATCAGTTGTAGCGTGTCCAAAAGTGTCTAATGAAGAGTTAGTCGTGTGTGAAAATGTAAATAATCACAACAATATAGATGGTGATAATATTAAGAAAACGGAAGACACTTCTTGTAATATACGAATTGATTCTGTGTTTTCCCTCTCAGAACCATCACAATCAGAAGAAAATACTAAGAAAGACGGAAAGAGAAAGCGTAAGAACGCCAATAAGGATAAGAAATTTAAGTTTGTTACCGAAGTGAAGGAATACAAATGTAAACCTATGTACGTAGTGTTGGAAAGACTAGCTTTATCGAAGGACACAGTGCATGTCCACGATGATACGTTATCAAAAACTAAATGTACCAACTATTGTCGCAAAAGAACCTTAAACTGTTTGTGTGACATTGATCTCTTAGACTGTAAGAACCCAGTGTTAAGTTCAACGGCCACATACATGAAACGTCGTCGTATAGAGATCACGCCATCTTCACCTGAACTCGCTCTTGAATTGAGTGATTCTGACTTAAAATCGAGATGTGCTGATGACTGGACATTAGTGGAAGAAGTACCGAAAGAAACCAGTACGATTGCAAATAAAGTCCATAAGCCCAGTATTCAGAATACAGATCACTCTTCATATGCGTCACCATCTGAAGCAGCAAGATCCAGAAATTTCAAATCTGGAAATAAACCAAAAATGGCGCTAAAAGCAGTAACCATGCTACCAGCAAAGGTTACAACGCCAGACTCTAAGGTACATTCAACACAGCAAGCCTTTGAAGGTGCGTTAAAAAATGCTGTGGCATCTAAAAATGTCCTAAACAACTCAGTGGAAACTAAACCATTATTACAAAATATGCCGACTTTAATCAAAATACCATTAACAATTTCCTCGACAAAACCATCAAATTCATTGATTGTGACTGGTACTGCATCTTCTTCTACAACTACCACAACCATTCCTTCAGTCATTTCTTCAACGACACCATCCTTATCTAAAGTTTCACCAACACCAGCACATACGCAGGCGAAAGAAAAAGTGTTGAATGGGAAGTTTTATTTAGTGACGATAGATGGAAAGATGGTTCTTATCCCCACAGACAAGTCAGTGAATAATAAAGCATTTGTTTTACAGCAAGCAGCTGATGGTACTACAGGGCTTATTCCTGCATGTTTGTCATACAGTAAAACAACTCCGACGGCACCCATTAATACCACAGCTTCTCCAATAGTGACTTCAGTCAGTAGCAGTAAATCAGTCATGAACATACGAAGCATTGCACCTCGCACCAATTCATCTCTCACATTAGCCTCTAATACAAACACAAGTGCGAAAATCATTCCAACTGGACCTGGAGTTCCCAAAACTATTCAATCGCCAATCCAGAGTATTACAGCAGCAATTGTATCCAAACCACAACCAGTTTCCATTGTCCCAAACGCCAAATTGGCTGCAACGGATACTATGACCAAGTCTCCTGTTATACAAGCAACTATTGCTTGTCCAAGCAATACCGGTACGCCATCACCAACAGTAGATCCGGCTAAAAAACGAAAGAAAACTTTAGCAGAAAGATATCCTCTCCCTCCCGGTGTCATAATTAAACAAGAACCAAGAACAACAGGTTATGGTGACGAACCCAAAGACCAAGGAGTTGAATCAGCTAACCCCTCACCCTTACCAGTCACATCGAATCGGCGTTTAGTTCAGTCAGTTTTAACTCCAAGTGTGGTACCACGACTTACATCTACCTCAACTTTACTTACACTGCCAACCACTACAGTTAATAGTAGATCCTTGCTTAGAAATACTACTCCAATACAAGGTATAGGAAGTTTCAACAGAAGCATACCTGTACCAGCAACCAATTTACGTACCTTGAACATTCCGCAGCCAAATACACAATCAACGAAACCTCGACCACCAATTAACATCATACAATATTTTCCTGTATCGAAATCTGCATCTCATCATGTACAGGCGCCGCCAAGAATTTCCCCGGTCATGAAAAACAATACAATAACATTCACCAAACTACCTAATACCAATGCCTTTCAGGCAGTGACGACAAAAATACATAACAGTTCCATACCTTCTAAGACTCTAGTGAACGCAAAAGAACGTCCAATTCCCGTGTTGTTTTCCCGTGAACCAAGAGTGGACAATAAACTAGTGGAAAACAATTCGCGTCCTGGTTCACCTGGACCACCAGATTTAGGTGAACCACAGATAATCCTTCCGCCTAAAGTAGGCCAGCAAGTCTCGAACGACAGCGACACGGATTCTGATACTGAAGGTGCTTCTAACTCGTTTCCTCTTTTCACTAGCCCAGTGGTTGAAAAAAGACTTGTAGAACCTAAGGCTAAGACTCCACAAGAGTTGCGAATTGAAAAACTCAAAAAACAATTACGCGAGCAAGAGAGAGCTTTGGAAGAAATGAGAAAGAAAAAGGCGTTGGAGTGTCCAATAGATATTGACGATGATTAATGACATCTTATGTTTGTCAATTGATAGCGTTATGTTTTGACTTGGTGTTCGCTCCCAATCTTGTTCGTTTTTCTACTGATAGTGCATAATATGAACATTTTTAGTATATATTTGCTTTCCATAGGCAGGAAAAACGAACAGGATTGTGTAAAAAACAGCGTTTATCAATGATGTGCAATTTTTCTTTCTAAGCAATGCACAATTATATCGACGAGGAATGTATTAAGAACACAACATTTAAAACAAAGGGTTTGTCAATATACGGAACCAATCTTTACCAATGTGCCTTAATTCTGAATCCCAATGATTTGAAATTGTGATTTGATGCTATACCTATTTTGAGTCTATACCCTTTTTTTAATGCTTCAAGCTTATATATCCATCTAATTTATTATTTGCCCAATCCCACTTATTATCATATTTCATTGTATACATTCTTAAAAATCTTACGATTAGAATTTCTCAAGCAGCAAAGAGTGATCGAAAGATTTTTAAGTAACAATTGTGTATTGGGGTATGGTATTGCTTAGTTCGAGAGATTTTTAATTGTTGTATGTATGCCTATCAATGTTATTTTGTTAATGATTTGTCTTACGTAATTTATCAATATTATTTTTAATAACAAACGGATAATCTTTGTTAAATAAATCGGGTTCCATCGGTAGTTCCATCAACGTCAAAAGGAGGAGGATAATGACGTTGCTGGGCCCGATCAGTTGCAGAAAAGGAAGACGAAAAAGTCAAGTTTCTTTAAATACATGTTAAAGGGATATAGTTGTCGAATTTTATTGTGTTCTATCTCCATTTCAGCTATTTCTACGCCTGTATCCACATTCTATAAGCTATCACTCCTGTTTCGGCACCCATGTCGCCGTTTAAATGTAGAATCTTGTCTTTATTCCATTTTTATACGCCCACATGAAATGGGGGCGTATATTGCCGTCATCCATGTCCGTCCGTCGACAATTGCTCGTAAACACTCTGGAAGGCACAATTCTTAACTGATTTTGACGATTTTGGTGAAAAAATTTAGTTATTGCCTTTATTTTTGAAATCACTTATAGGTTGTAAACGCTCTAGAAGGTTGAATTATTGGCAGATTTTGATGAAACTTTGTGTGAGTGTTTGTTATCGCCCAAGGATAAACCCTATCGAAATACAGAAAAATAAAAAAATAATTAGTACAGTGGTCTAACCTATTTTCAAAGATATAAGGATTCAATACCGAAAAATATTGAGTATGAGTTATTGCCCTTGTTCATGAAAACGCGTTCAATTTTTAGCTCGTAAACACTCTAGAAGGCACAATTCTTGGCGGATTTTGACAAAACTTGGCATGAGTGTTTGTTATCACCCAAGGATAAACCCTATTGAAAATCAGAAAAATCGAAAAAATATTTGGTATGAATTATTGCCCTTGTTCTTGAAAAAGCGTTCAATCTTTAGCTCGTAAACATTCTAGAAGGGACAATTCTTGATGGATATTGCCGAAATCTGGCATGAGTGTTTGTTATCATCCAAGGATAAACCTTATTGAAAATCAGAAAAATCGAGAAATATTTGGTATGAGTTATTGCCCTTGTTCTTGAAAATGCTTTTAATTTCTAGCTTGTAAACGTTCTAGAAGGCTCAATTATTGACAGATTTTGACGAAACTTGGTAAATGTTTTTATTATCCATGGGTGACCCTATCAAAAATCAAAAAAATCGAAATATGTTTCATAGGAGTTATTGACTTCGTTCTTGATAACGCTATCAAATTTTAGCTCTTAAACACCAAAAGGCGTGATTCTTGCTGGATTTTGACAAAACTTGGTTTTATTATTCAGTATCGAGCTGAAGATTGAATATTTGCCTTCTAAAGTTTTCACGAGCTAAAAATTGAACACGTTTTCAAGAACAAGGGCAATAACTCATAATCAATATTATTCAGTATCGCCTTAAAGAGTTCAAAAGAAGTGTATGACTGAACGTTGAATATTTCATACTGGTGATTGTTACTGTACTGCTAATTTTTTTTTATTTAAAATCAAAGCTGCCAGTGGGCGTATATTACCTTGCCTGGCAAGCTATCTTTATCAAACATGGCACATTAATACATATCGATCGGGTTTAAATTTGGCGTTTTCCGAATTGACCTCCCGTGATATTAACCCCGCATTTTTAAAGTAACCTACTATTACAGCTCGTTTAGCCTTCAGCTTGATAAGTACGAATATACGATAAAATATTTTCACTTTAAATAGTGCTCAATACATCAATTGTAGAGCGATATAGATATATTAAAACAGAACCTGAAGAAACATGTTGTTATAACTCAGTTTCACTCTATGCAATTTAAAAAGCGTGTTGTTACTCAGAGTTACACACTATGCGATCGTAAGCTGGAGAAGTCAGTGAAGTCACTAGTCACGAGAGTTGGCTGATAAGTTCTTAGGCTAAAGGAGATATCTTAATCGGATTGAAACAAACTTTTGTAACCAAAAAGTACAATCATTCAATGAATCATAGACATAAGAACTGCAACTGTAGTATAAGGTTTTATAATAGATACTCTCTTATAGATGCACTGGCTTAGATTACAATTAGGGACTGTAAGGCCATCGTTTGAATATACCCACCGTAATCACCAGGCATGGACAAAACTGGCTAAAGGACAGTCATCAAGTACCTGCAACTGAAAGGGCTAACTCGAACACAGATACAATATGTTGACACTCTAGATGTCCCTACCTTTTTCATTGTTAAGAAGTGGCCTGTAGAATTCACGCATACAGAGAAAGCCTTGATGATGATCCCCGTTCAGGGAGATATTCAACAGCAACCATTCAGAAAAACATTACCAAGTTGCACGAAATGACGATGATTGATCGACGATTGACCACCATATAGACATTATTGCCAATGTTGTGGACGAGAGGCTTATAACCAACAGGTTGGGAACGACAAGGGTTTCTCCAAACAGATCTTGAGAGTGGGCCAGATTGCTGATGTCCCGTGACAATTTATGCCGTTTTGAAGCAGATTTACTCTTATTGGATCAGAAACCGAAATGAAGTCTAACAATGAAAGCATCAAGAATCGCCATCATCCAAAAGGCAAAGTCGTTTTCTTTTGCTGAAAAAGTGATGGTTTCAATCTTTTGAGTTTTCAAGGGTATTCAGTTGATTGACTATTTCGGGGGAAAAACGAATTCTATTCTATCAAGATAATGCTCCTATTGACAAAATGGTGGTGCAATGTCAGCTATCCATGATTGTGACTTCGAACTCATTGACCATTATTTTGGGGAAGAACCCTCTCAGACGGCTTGAGGTGCTCCCATAGAGCTGAATTTTTTAATCAACCCTAACAGTTGTCCACCACCCATTCAGTCTGCCCGTTAATTGTACCTTAAATCTCTTGAAGCCAAAAATTGAGAAATATTTTCGGGCATTTTCATGGTGATGTACATAATTTCCTGTCAGACTGAAAAATTTGCATCAAGCTTTAAAGCCTTCTATTAAAAACTAGAAGGAGCATTGTGCTTTCATTCCGTAACATGTCGATACTTGTAAGCCTATGTACTTTTGGCAAACAATACCCCGAGTATCAAGTGTACTCTTGCAATTGAGATTTTCTCGAAAATAGCGTCCATAGCGACATCGAAACCTCCTATGAATCATCTTAATTCTGCATAGGCAGATCCTTCGAATCAAAGTGGCATGGAAAACTTGTGTTAAGACCATAAATCCTATTTTTACTAATATAAAGTAGTAAAGAAACCTTCTATTTTACCGAAATATTGAAAAAAAAACCTTCTAAGTCAGAGTTTATTGGAAAGTAAGAAATATCCATGAACATAAGATTTTTGATAATATTGTAGTTTTTACATTTTTGATACTTTCAAAATCTAAAGAAAGAAACAGTTTTATCGCACTCCTAAAAACTTGTAAATTTTGAATTAGGCGGTTTTATCAGCACAGGGACGATATGTGAAGGTCCCTTAACAGTTGTTGAAAATGCCATGGCCCAAAAATTAACGCCCAAACACGCCACTGTGCCAATCCAATAATGATACAAAGAAAATTGGGTTTACAAAATTGGCCTATAACGCCAGATTTCCGTCTTGTACCAGCCCAAGTTCCATCTTGTTCCACGTTTGAATGACAACCTAATATCTTGCATCTCTCAATCTAATATTCTATGCTCCATCTCCATAAATCCATGATTTATTTTCAATACCCGGTAAATGGTAAATATCAATAGGCCTAGTATTTTTTCGTGATAATATGACGACAGACTACAATTAAACGAAATTATTTCCCTTTGACCACTTATCTAATGGTTTGATGCGAAACGTAATAAGCAAACATCTACGAAGATTTTGGTAGATGAGAAACGGTTCACATCACATTTCCTTACTGAATGACTGATTGTCGACGTTCCACGAGTCTGAAGATGTGTTGTGAGAAATGTTTATGCTATTTATTCATTTGGTGAAACATTACAAGCATAAAAAAGACAAAACTTTTCTTGCGAAACAAGGTGTTTCAAATTAACAAACATACAAACCAATGAATACATGAAAAGCCTCTTAAAACTTCAAATGATTTTATCATTATATCTGCTATCATACCTGATTAAAAATATTCAGATTCCTGGTATTCAACCTGTGGTAGCTTAGAGGTATCTCCAAGGCCAGGCCCAAAGGGCTGAGAAAACTATACGATTTCATATGGGTTTGGATGAATTTGGATAAATTGTTTTCAATGATGATTAAAAAAAGCATTTTTATGTGCCCACATGACATTGTCGTCACCCATGTCCGTTCCTCTGTCCGTCCGTCTGACCACAATTGCTCGTAAACACTCAACAGGGCACAATTCTTGAATGATTTAACGAAACTTTGTATGTTTGTTTGTAATCTCCAAAGGATAGCCTAAACCCTATTGAAAATCAGAACAATCGAAAAATATTTTATTATTGCCCTTATTCTTGAAATTACGTTCACTTTTAGGTTGTAAACACTTTAGAAGGTTGAATTATTGATAGATTTTGATGAAACTTTGTGTGAGTGTTTGTTATCACCCAAGCAAGAACCCTATCAAAATACAGAAAAATAAAAAAATTATTAATACAGTGGTGTAACCTATTTTCGTGGATATAATTTTTTTTATGGCCTAAGTTTCCTCAGATATTTGCGGAAGCATATTAGGGCCATTCATTTTTTATTTTTGGAATTTTTAAGTTAGTATGTTGAATTGTCAAGTTAGTATGTTGAATTTTCAAGTTAGTAACTTGAATTTTTAAGTTAGTATCTTGAATTTTTCAAGGTAGTATGTTGAATTTTCATGTTAGTATGTTCAAGTTAGTATGTTGAATTTTCATGTTAGTATGTTCAAGTTAGTATGTTGAATTTTCAAGCTAGTATGTTGAATATTCAGGTTAGTATGTTCAAATTAGTATGTTGAATTTTCAAGTTAGTATGTTGAATTTTCAAGTTAGTATGTTGAATTTTCTAGTTAGTATGTTGAATTTACTAACTTGAAAATCCAACATACTAACTTGAAAATTCTTAAAAATTCAACATACTAACTTGAAAATTGAAAAAAAAAAAAAGTGAATGGCCCTAAACGTTTCCTTA